TTCTGTCGTTACCTTGTAATGTTTACGACAGAAGCCTGCTACGAGCGCACAAACAGGAACAGCCCCGTTTCCATGATTAACTGCTCTCATTATGCAGGAAGCATTTCTGGCTGCCGTAAACAAATCACGTCAAAGGCAGCCCATCAAAGGCCGCTCTGTGTGCGGACAGCAGAGCCACACGGAACAAAGCTTGCTCCTGCCGGAGCCAGGGCCTCACCAGTGCGCAGCTGCGGGAGCGGGGCGCCCTCCGTCCGAGCAGCACGACCAGAGGCACATTGTCAAGCTCCGGGAAGGCCCTGGGGCTCACGGTCACAGGCAGACACCCCTTAAAACCCGTCTAAGAAAAGGGTTGCTTTGCTTCTCACTAAAGGGTATGGTACCAACACAGAAAACGCTAGACTTCAGGTTACCTTCCTGCCAAGTATCAAGGTAATTTCAAGGCTGGATATCTATGCTTTGTTTTACTGCCAGCCTCCAAGAGCAAGTCTCTTCCTGGTAGCTATTTGAAATGGAGAGGCTGGGAAGTATTTTACAGTGATTTCACCCCAAGATTTCATGAGGTCCTCCACACACGAGGCAAATCAGAAGTATGCAGAGGTTTTTCACTGCGAGAGAGAAAGACTTGCAGTCACAGCCACCAACACTGTTGGTGTTTACATCTCCGCGTAGGAGACAGTCTAGAAAGCTCCATGACAACAAGAGGCCCGGCCATAATCACAGGGAGTCTGCAATGCTCAGCCCTTTGCCTCCTCCAGGGCTGGTGCTGCCTCCTTCAAGCCTTGATCTGATTAATGGTAAGCTCGGTTTCCTTACAACGGCAGGGCGAACGCCACTGTAGCCGGGGATCCTGCCTCACTTACTTTGTAATACGAGAATGAAAGTCAGGCTCGAAGAACCCTCCAGACCAAAGAAAAAAAAAAAAAAAGTGTGCTTCTTGCCTTTCTAAACTAAATGATATGCTCAAATCTCTGATGACATAATTTATTTTGCGTCTTGAGTGTGCTGAACTAATGCTCTAGAAAATCAAGTCAAAGAATTCAACCAAAACTGACATCAAAAGAGTACAGAGGGGCGCCTGGGTGGCTCAGTCGGCAGAAGCGTGCAACCTCAGCTCAGGCCATGATCTCCCAGTCTGCGAGTTAGAGCCCCGCGTCGGGCTCCAGCTGTCAGCACAGAGCCGCTTCGGATCCTCTGCCCGCACCACCCCCCCCCACCCGTCCCCCCAACCCAGTCCCTCCCCTGCTCACTTTCTCCCTCTCAAAAAATAAAATAAACATAAAAAAAAAAAGAGTACAGATATGGCGATTAGGAAAGAAACCAGAGACAAAAGCATGAAATGTAAAATTATACACCGAGGCATGCACAAGGCAGAAGATGCAGACTAAAGAGAAAACATAAACAAGACTATTTCTTCAAACAGTAAGTAAATGTGACATAGTGTTAGATCATGTCACTCCCAACGCCCTACGCCTCTCTCCAGCCTAAAACCCTTCCTCTCCCAGAGGTCTAGCAAAACTCCCAGAGCCCGTAACAAGGCCCTCATGTCATGCTTCCTGCTCATGCTTCCAGCCACAGCTCATACATGGTCTCCCTTTCACTCACCCCTAGCTCCAGCCAGTCCTTAAAGACCTTTTCTGGTCACATTTTCTCTACCCGAGGCACGTTTCCTACCATTTACCTCATGGCTAGCTCACTCTCATATATCAGGTCTTAATTCAAGTATGTCAACTCTCAGAGAGGCTTGCCCCACTAATTATGTCTAAAGGGGCATCACTGAGTTACTCACCATTTCATACCCTATTTACTTTACTTAGCGACAGTTCAGACTTTCAGCTATAATGACTCTTAAGAACATATACCACCTTTGTAACAAATCCTCTGTGGTTTACTGTTTTTATCTTTGTCTGTTTACTAAAATGAATTTTTCATCCCCAAACACTCTAAGTCAAAATACGAAGTATGAGGTTTCCTTATTACTGTTTCAGGCAAAGACACACTAAAAAGTTTTACCTACCATAACAGCTTCTAGACTATCATACGGAACAAATCTGAACTGAATGCCACATTTGGGTGAATTCACAGCAACCTGCTTTGTGTATCTATGTCCATCACGTACGGTCTTCTGGTCTGTCATGCGCAGGGACCGTTCACACAAGGTTTTGTGTTGAGCCTTTACTCCGCCCTAAAATGCTTTCCTGTTCTGTAATTTTAAAGTTTGAGGCTGAGTGCACAATTACAATAAACCAATGAGGACTGAAAATTTTGTAGGGAAAAATCGTACAAAAAATTTTTTAAAAAGTATTACTTTGGGTACAAATTTTTGCCCTCAAATTGTTACTTACAAAAACTTGTTTTCAGTGTTCAACTGACATATGTCTCTACCTATAAAAATTATTTAAAAAATGCTCATGGGGCACCTGGGTAGCTCAGTTGGTTGAGCATCTGGCTCTTGATTTCAACTCAGGTGATGATCTCACGGTTTGTGAGTTTGAGCCCCATGTCAGGCTCCACACTATGTCAGCGTGGAGCCCGCCTGGAATTCTCATTCTCTCTCTCTCTCCAAAAAAAAAAAAAAAAAAAAAATTACTATCCTAGATTGGGATAACAAAAACCATAATGTTGATGGAAATAATTTTTCATTTAATGGTTTCACTTAGTGGTGAGGATTTTAGGAATAATTTCACTTCATTAAACAAAGGGTAGTTGTATTTCTTCCATTATTAGCTGTAATCACTGTGGATATTTATTCATGTACTTGTTTATAATCTATCTCTCTCACTAGAGAGTAGGCTCCCTGAAGCATACTTTGTCTTCTTCACTATTGTGACAATATCTAATTTATATTTTAAGATTATTCTCACTTCTGGGTAGAAAATAGATTCTAAAGAGCAAACCCGGAACAGGTATCTATTGCAGTAATCCAGGTAAAAGCTGAAGACCCAGAGTGGGGTTGTAGCAGTGGAAACAGGAAAAAAAAACAAAACAAAATTTTAGATGTATTAGGATTTTAAAGGTACACAGATGTGGGGTCAATTCAGGTTTCTAGCCTGAGGTACTGGTGGTGACATTGACTGAAATGGGTAAACTGGGGGAATGACAGGTTTGAGAGGAAAGTAAAGACAATGGGCTTCCCACTTGTAGACATGTTATTAAGCCTGAGATGTTTATGAGGCACCCCAATGGAAATGTCATCGAGGCCACAGGCTACCAAAACTAGAGCATGAGAGAGATGAATCAGGGCCAAAGGACCACACATTTAGTTAGAAGCCAAGAGCAAATAGTTATCATTTAAAGCTTTTGGGCTGAATTTCATTACTGAGAGAGAATACAGCCAAAGTAGAGGAAGACCTGGGCCCTGGGACTCGCCAACGTGATAAATAGGCTTCCCTCTTCTAGTCTCTTCCTTTATTAACAAATCCATTAAAGTGTTTTTCAATGACAGGATTACACTGTCATCAAAAACATCCTGACCTATTTCTACATCCCACTGTGTGTGTGTGTGTGCGCGTGTGTGTATCAATATCAGACGTTAACGTTCATATTTGACCACACTTAAAATATTCAGATGCTAATCTCCAATACAAATAAATGCGAGATCCTAACCCCAAACCTCCTGTTTATGGAGAGATAAATAAGAGAAAAAGAAATGGGAGTTACCAGAATAAAGAATATAAAATCAATTTTGAAGGTAACAGAAATAACCTCACAAAATACAAGAGATAGCACTTTCAAAATAAGCCATATTCATATAATAAAAAATATCTTAAATTTATAATATGCAAGATGCTTTTTTTTTTTTTAGAGTTGTAACTAGAGTGTGGAGTACACAGAGGAGGATGCACTATAAATGGCATGAAAACACAGCCATCCCAATCCAAGGAATTTTAACAACTATCCATCTTCTTGCTGTTTCTGGTTTCTATGGAAATAGAGGGAACTGCGGGAAAAATAAAGATAAGGTACTTAAAACACCTTCTATTCAGAGAAGAGTGAGAAACAGCTGGCAGTCAGGACTGGTAGCGCTGAAGCCAATTTATGCTTCTGGAACTAAGTTTAGATTTGGGCAGACAATCTTTTTAGCACTAACTCTCACTCCATCTGCCTTCCTGCAACACAACAAGACTCAGTCTTAGTTTCATCCAGAGAAAAAGAACTAAATTATATTAGTAACTGGTTTTCCCATTATCTGACCATACAACAACTCACACACCCAATTTTCCCCCCCAACATCATTTACATTACTTAGCTAACCACACTCTCTTTTATAGGAGCCTGCTTTCCTAGGTGGAAAAATTGCCTAGAACTATCTTTGGAAGTAGAAGATATTCTTCACATATTTGGCTAATTGTTGTTTAAAAACTAAAGTCTAAGTAAATGCTGCCCAATGAAACCAAACACAACCAAGCACCCTTACAAAAAGAAGAGCAACCACAAAATCGTGTTAAGTGCCACATATCAACCTGAAACCTCTCTGAATTCCAGCTTGGTCTCATTCTACTTGAGAAGCCAAAGGAGGCCATGCTGGTGCAGTTCCTATGTCTACATCTCTTCACTGGTATCATTACTGAGAGTCTCCACGCGATAGAGCCCAACAGCCCCACAACTTCTACTAAAAACAACTCAATACAACAATTACTCTGAGAATAAAAAACCTTGTATTCATGAACCATGGAAGGCAAGAGGGTCAATATTTCTTCAACTCAGAAGATACAAAAACTCAGGCAAAAGAAAAGTATCATTTTACACCTTTGAACCATAATTAAATTTTCAGTTGCTCCAAAAGATTCCGAGAACAGGTAATGGGAAGCAGCGTGTAAAGACTTTGTTATTATGTCCTAACTAAGCTGCAAGCCACAAAATCACATCTGCTGTAACAGTGATAAAACAGTTGACCTGAACCAGTGATAAAACAGTTGACCTGAAAACATGTTTTAGTATCTAAAACCTGGCTAAATAGTCTTAGAAATGTTTGAGAACTGGGATAATTTCATTATTCTTACCTTTGCAGACACTCAAAATCATACCGCCTGAATTTTGCACTTCATCAAATTTGGCAAAAATCATCTCTAATCTGGGAATAAAGAACACATTTTGTTTGTTTTACATACAGTTTAAATAGAATTTCTTTCACTATCTCCCGGAGAGAAATAAGGTCAGGGATTCAGCTGGTTCCACACGACTCTAACAATGGTCTCACTCACTGAGACAAAACACAAAGCCCGTCCCTCCTGAGTAGAGAAGGAGCCAAACACAGGCGTGTCTCCACGCAGTTTCGCGTTTCCTCATAAAATTATTTCTCCAAACCCATTAGAAATCTTTTAGTTACAACCTCATAATAAATCCACTCAGTCACCAAGACATCTTTAGAAAGTACATACAATCATGGAAAGGAAACTTAAGGCTAACATAACAACGAGATATAAGATGTCAGAAGCTATAGTAATGCAGGTATCACTGATAATCTGACATTTTCTCTATTAACCTATTTTCATTCAACACCAATTCCGTTACTGCTTCTGATTTTATATTCAGAATTACTTTCTATACTTCTATTATTTCCTATTACAAAAGCAATGTACATTCATTATAAAAGAAAGCTAGGAAATATAATTAGGAACAAAGGAAGAAAAAGCCAAAACAACAATCCTACCATCTAATTTTTTAAACTGTATGCTTTCTGATGGTTTGTGTGTGTGTGTGTGTGTGTGTGTGTAACTATTTTTTAGTTCACTTAGCCTTTACTTTCCAATATATTTGGCTACGATTTATTCTCAAAGTTATGGCTTAGAGATTTGGGGAAGGGAAGAGGGACATTTTCATGTTACTTCTACTTGTCAGATGTTCTCTGACTCACGTTTGTTTTTGTCACAGTGTCATTTCTACAACCTTAGTTAAGCTATTGGTCCACATTTTGTCATTTCTTACTTGTAAACTGAGGATACTTTTTGTCTTAAAAATATTTTTTTTAGCTGAAAACCTAAGAACTCATCATAATGAGATTTCTAAACCTTAACCCCACCTCCTACCCCCATTAAATTCAACAAATAAAAATATTCACATATCTGGGGCACTTGGGTGGCTCTGTGGGTTAAGCCTCTGACTTCAGCTCAGGTCATGTCATGATCTCATGGTTTGTGAGTTTGAGCCCCACATCAAGCTCTCTGCTGTCAGCACAGAGCCTGCTTTGGATCCTCAGTCCCCCTCTCTCTGCCCCTCCCGTGCACACGTGCACTTTCTCTCTCAAGAAATAAACAAACATTAAAGAAAGTTCACATATCTGAAAGGACTTCAGTTTAAAGACACAGGTTGCTTCATCCTATAGTTCTTCCAGAGAACTGAGAAGGCAGCAGACAGGTTGCCCAGAGAAAAGATGGGGACAAGATGGAAGGAACGCTGGAACTGGAAGGTGGGACCTCGGAATGAAGAGCAGACAGACAGGAACAGAAAGGAGGGGATCCAGGAGAGCTCTCTGGGGAAAAGGCAGAACAAAGATGTGAAGAAGCATGAAAGTGACACTCAGAATAGCAAAACGGGAGTAAGAAACTGAGGCTAGAAAGCTGAAGAGAGAATTGGTAAGGAATTAAGGTGGGCGGATAAAACATACAGCAAGAAATGTCTACAGGAAGTTTTAATTTAAAAAAAAGCGAGGGGGGGTGTCAGCTGAAATTCTAGAGAAATATAATGGTAGCAGGGAGGGAAGGAGGGCCAGTCAAGGTGGGAAGACATCACTCAAAGGTCTTTGGAACGGGGTTGGGCTAGGAAAGACGCACAGAGAGCTTATCTCACACCCTTTACCCTGCTGCGAGCCTTCACTTAGCTCTCCACAACTATCGTCTTTTTTTTTTTTTTTTAAATCCATTTAAGTAATCTCCACACCCAACATGGGGCTCAAACTCACCACCCCAATATCAAGAAGTCACATGCTCTTCTGACTGAGCCAGCCAGGCACCCCCAGTCTCCCTTTCCTCCTAAGACTTCTTACTTTACCAACTTCCACGTGAAACACTGACATTTGCTTAGTATTTACTGAAAGGACTTTAGTTCCCGGTTTAAAATTATATAAGGAGTAAGTTCGCACCTTCCTATATAATTTTTTAGTATTTTTATTTTGAGACACAGAGATCATGCACGTGCATGAGTGCAGTGGGGGAGGGGCCGAGAGAGAATCTTAAGCAGGCTCCATGCTCAGCTCAGATCCCAAAGCGGGACTGGACCCCACAACCCCGGGATCATGACTGGAGCAGTCAGATGCTCAACCGCCCAAGCTGCCCAAGCGCCCCTACACCTTATTGTCTTTAAAAGAAAAAACTAAACATACTATAATTTTCTATGTGACCCTCGCTGGATTGCCCTCATCCCTGGTCATTAAGTCTCAAATAATACAAAGCTCCATTCAACTATTTACTTTATTCGTAATGGAAGATCACTGCACATATAACCTGAAGGAAAAGGAGGAAAGGAACAAGGGCAGAAGGAAGAGACGAGGATCTTTTAAGTAATTCAGGAAGAAAAAAAATTTATAAAATTCAGTGGAAAGAAAATACAAAGAGGCCCGATCATCCAAAAGGTTATAAACACAACTTACAAGGCCACAGAACAGATGCCAGTAAAGCTTCAGGGAGGTTCCGACTCCGGAGAAGGACAGAGACCAGTAAAGCGTCAGCACAGAACCAGAAAAGCAGCTCTAACCAGAGTCCATATTTGAGTTTGGAGTCAAAATAACAAATTTCGTTGTAGTTTTGATCTGTATCTCTCAGATGGCTAATGGTGCTGAGCAATTTTTTACGGGCTTATTGGCCATTTCAATTTCTTCTATTCAAATCCTTTGCCTGTTTTTAAAATTGGGTATCTGCCCTTTCACTGAGGAATTATAAAAGTTTTTTACATATTATATACTCAGGACATGTCTTTTATGAGATGTACAATTTGTAAATATTTTTCCCATTATGTCGGTTTTCTGCAGATTTCTTGCTGGTATTCCTTGAAGTCCAAGTCTTTTATTTTGATAAAGTACAATATGCCTATTTATTTTATTTTGAGAGAGTGATCATGAGGGCAGGAGGGTGAGAGAGAGAGAGAAAGGGAATCTCAAGTAGGTTCTGTGCTGTCAGCACAGAGTCTGACACAGGGCTTGATCCCATGAACTGTGAAATCATAACCTGAGCTGAAATCAAGAGTCAGATACTTAACCAACTAAGCCACCAGGCTTAAATAGCCTTAAAAATATATCTATTTTTAATTTGGCCGCTTATACTTATGCATACATAAGAAACCACTGCCTAGCATTTTCTAAGTTTTATTGTTTTAGCCCTTACATTTAGCTTTATGATCCATTTAGACTTAATTTGGGGGTGTGGTGTAAAGAAGTCCAACTTCTTTTCTATTGCCCATGGAAATTCTGTTTTTACAGCACCATTTGTAGAAAAGACTATTCTTTTCCCATTGAGTGGTATTAGTACTTCTGACAAAAACTGATGGACCACAAATGTAAGGGTTTATTTCTAGACTCTTCTTTTGCACTGATCACGTGTCTAGTGTTATGCCTCTACCACACTGTCAGAGCTTATCTTTTTAAAAATAGCTGACAAAGGAAGAAAAAAATTTTAATTATTTTTTTAAAACTATTTGATTCAATGGTTTTATAAATTATACTTAAGTTTAGCTGTTTTAATAAAGAAGAAGGTCTTTCATAGAAATAAGGGTGGGTAAAACCAGAAATTTGCCTTAAAGAATTGTATCCAACAGGAAATTTGGAAATCACAAAGGGAGCAGTATTTGAGAAGCAGAAATATCCTTCCTGAAAATTAAAGTTTTATGACCACTATATGATTAAAAAATATAATTTTCAGGGGCGCCTGGGTGGCTTCAGAGATCAGTTCAGGTCGTGATCTCACAGTCCATGAGTTTGAGCCCCACACTTGGCTCTGTGCTGACAGCTCAGAGGCTGGAGCCTGCTTCAGATTCTCTCTCCCCCTCTCTCTCTCTACCCCGTCCCCACTTGCACTCTGTCTCTGTATCTGTGTCTCTCTCACAAATGAACATTAAAAAATATGTATATGTATATAATTTTCAAAAAAATTTAATATTCAATATAAAGTTAACTTTTGAGAGTAAACGCTAGTGGAAAGAGGGCAACAGTGGGATAATCATTTGAAGAAGTAAACCAAAATTTCATTCAGATTTTACCTTATGAAAGCTTTAGACTCTGATATAAATGGGTCCAGTATTTTTTTTAATGTTTTATTTATTTCTGAGAGAGAGAGAGAGAGAGAGAGACAGCGTGAGCAGGGGAGGGTCAGAGAGAGAGGGAGACACAGAATCGGAAGCAGCCCCAGGCTCTGAGCTGTCAGCACAGAGCCCAACGTGGGGCTCGAACCCACGAACCGTGAGATCATGACCTGAGCTGAAGTCGACGCTTAACCGACTAAGCCACCCAGGCGCCCCAAAATGGGTCCAGTATTTTGAAGAGTCAAAATAGCACCTACAAAATAAAGAGGTCACATGCTGAAAGGACAGAAAACACTGGGCCTGCTTGACGCAGAGCTCATCACACTTGTGCCCACACGCGGTCCTCCTCACTGCCCACCACCCGGTAGAGAAGCATCGCGGGGAAGGCTGTGCTTTGAGGACACAACTGTAGACTGGAAGTCAGAAAGCCTCGGCTTCTCACCAACTACCTGTCTCCGCTCTGGTCTCAGACTCCTGATCTGCCAAGTGACTAGCCCACTCAGAGGTCGGAGAAAGAAGAATGGACACGTTAATAAGTCCATGGCTCATTTCAGTAAGAACATTAGCATAAGCTGGCCACGGAGGATAAAAGCCTTCCAGTTGATTCTGATGGGGGGAGAAAAATCACGTAAGGGGTTTCTCCTAGCAACTGAAATTACTTATAAAATATAACTTAAGAAGAAAGGAATACTATACACCCATCTTACTTGGAGCCTATGTGCAAAAATCCTAAGCACACACACGGACACTTAATTTATAACAAAAGGAACACTGAAGAAAGTGGTGCCGGGTCAAGTGGACACCCACATGTAAAATAGATGTATCTGAACCTATTCACACCACTCTCAAGGAAAATACTACCTGGCCTACAAATCTAATGTGAGTAAAACATCAAGACAATTACCCAGAGATTGTCTTTAACACATCAGGCTAAGTAAAAATTTCTTAAACCAGGCACAAAAATGTCTAATCACGAAGGAAATGACTGAAAACCACATGAAAATTAAAAACTTACATACATGAAAAGATATCACCAAGAAAGTAAAAAGGCAAGTCACAAGGGGGAAGAGGGTATCTGAAACACACATCGCTGACCATGGGCTTGCATCTAGAATATGTTTTAGAAAGTTCTACTCATCAATTTTTTTAAATGACAGACCACTGAATTACTAAAAACAGGCAAGAGACCTGAAAAGACAACTAAAAGAATATATCCAAGGACTGGTAAGTGCATTAAACGGTGCTCCTCTTTATTAGTAATCAGAAAAATGCAGATTATAACACATACACCAGAAATCTAAAATTAGTAAAATAGGACTAATAATGCCAAATCAGAGAAAATGTAGAAGAACAGGAATTTGCAAACAATGCCAGTAAGAATATAAATGGGTACAACACTCTGGGAAACCGTTTGTCAATATCAAGTACAGGTGAACATACCCTACTGCCCAACAATTCCACTCTTCGATACAGTCTAAGAGAATGAATACACAAGTACACCAAAAGACATGTACAAGAATGTTTTTAATACCATTATTCAAAAAAGCTATAAGCTGAAAACAACACACAAGTCCACCATTAGTATGATGGACTTTCCATCATACGGAAAATGGAAAACTATATGGTAATGAAAATAAACCAACTGTAGCCAGATCCAACAACCAAAATGATTTTTAAAAAAAGTTAACTGAAAGAAGGCAGACACAAAAGAGCAGATACTATACGATTCCACTTATATAAAATTCAAAAACAGGCAAAATTAAACTATGGTGATAAAAATGAGGATCATGGTTACTTCTGGGAAGGACAGAAAAGGCAAGAATTAAAAAGGATTTGGGAAGGCTTCTGGCTGATTATAATGTTCCCTTTTGCCACCTGTGTGGTGGATACATGAGTATATTCACTTTGTGATAATTTATACAGCTCCATACTTATGAGTTACATATCTTTCTGTACGATGTCATATTTGCATAAAATTGTAAAATTATTTAGTAAAAAGTAACTTCAATATAAATTTTTAATTTTTTTAATGTTTTATTTTTGAAAGAGAGAGAGACAGACAGAGCATGAGCAAGGGAGGGGCAGAGAGGGAGACACAAAATCTGAAGCAGGCTCCAGGCTCTGAGCTGTCAACAGAACCGAACATGGGGCCTGAAGCCAAGAACCTCAAGATCAGGACCTGAGCTGAAGTCAGGCACTTAACCGACTGAGCCACCCAGGTGTCCCTAAATTTTAAAAAATACATGATGTAATATATATACATACATACATGCACATACTCATACACATAATTATATTACATTAACATCAATTCTTTCATTCACATAAAATGATGTAGACTACTCAAATGAAATTGTTAGCTCTGGAAGTAGAAAATGAGTAAATACACAAAATAATGCATATTTCATAGACAATCTTATTACCAAAAAAATAACTGGTACTGGAAAAAAAAAAAAAACTACATGGTAGGAGACACAGCCACATACGTTGAGAGTTATGATAAAAGAATGTATTACCACCTCTCAAGTGGTCTGGCCTTTCGTGATACCACCCTACACCACCCCCCACACCCTCCCAACACCACCCCCCCCACATCACCAAAAATCTATCAAGCCTCCAGATCCAACTACCAAGTTATGGGGAATGAGGACAGAAGAGCACAATAAACCACAACCACAGAAAAAGATCAGCAATATTCAGAATATAGGAAACTTTATGAGATAAACTGCCTGGCTTATTGAATAAATAAACACAAGGGGAAAAAGTGCTGGAGGTATATAAAGATTTAGAAAGACTTGTAAGAACTTATCAGCTAACTGTTGGACTTCAACTGAATACTGATATAAACAAAAATATAGATATATACTTATGTTTATAAAGCAACTGGAAATTTGTTTTCTGGGTTTTTTGAAATAACTGGAAATGTGAATGCCGACTGGATATTTGACTTACAGAATTATCTGCAAAACAAATTTAACTTGTGATGATGGTATTATGGTTGTGATTGAAAAAAACCTCTTTTTCAATTTAGAAACATATTGAATAATTACAGATGAAACATCATGGCTTGGGTATGCTTCAAAATAATACAGGACAAAAGTAAGTAGGTAAGAGTGTAACATATGAAACTGGCCATGAGTTGTTAATTGTTGGAGTTGCATAATGGGTACACGAAGGCTCATTATACTACTGTCTGCTTTAGCATGTTTGAAATTTTCCATAATAAAAAGTTAAAAAAAAAAAAAAAAGACCTTTCAAGGTTCCCTTAAAATGAGGACTAAAATTTGATTACAAAAAAATTTATGTGGAATAATATCTTTTTTAAACCTATTTTTTAAGTTTATTTATTTTGAGAGAGAGAGAGAGAGAGAGAGAAAGGCAGAAAGAGAGGGTGAGAGGGAATCCCAAGCAAGTTCTACACTGTCAGTGCAGTGGGGCTTGATCTTACAGAACCATGAGATCATGACCTGAGCCGAAGTTGGATCCCTAACCAACTTAGCCACCCAGGCACCCCTGAAATAATATCTTTAAGAAAAACAGAAACTCTGAAAAGTACTAAAGAAAAAAAAATACCTTTGAAAAAAGTGTTCTGATATAGGAGAAGCTTATCAATGGGATTTTTACTGATCTGATTGATGCTACTAAACTCAGATATTCTTAATTTTCTTTTTATTTGACTATACTTTAAGATTAGTGACTAGGGGTGCCTGGATCACTACTCAATCAGTTAAGCATCCAACTTCTGCTCAGGTCATGATCTCACGGTTCGTGGATTCGAGCCCCGCGTCGGGCTCTGTGCTGACACCTCAGGGCCTGGAGCCTGCTTCAGATTCTGTGTCTCCCTCTCTCTCTACTCCTCCCTTGCTTGTATGCAATCTCTCTCTCTCTCTCTCTCTCTCTCTCAAAAATAAAAAACATTGAAAATAAATTTTAAAAATAAATAAGACAGGCGCCTGGGTGGCTCAGTCAGTTAAGCGTCTGATTCAGCTCAGGTCATGATCACACAGTTCGTGGGTTTGAGCCCCGCGTCGGGCTCTGTGCTGACACCTCAGGGCCTGGAGCCTGCTTCAGATTCTGTGTCTCCCTCTCTCTCTGACCCTCCCCTGCTCACACTCTCTCTCTCTCTCTCATTCAGATATAAATAAAACATTAAAAAAAAAAAAAGAATAGTGACTAATTCCTCTATAGCTTTCTGTTATCCAGTATCTTGTCCAGTATATTTTAACAGAAAGCACTAAAAACAATTTACTTAATGAATGGATTAATGTTTTTACTATATTCTTGCTCAAGAATCTTCCAAATACTGTAATGATTATTACTGCCTGGTATAAAACAGTTTTCCCTGAAAGTGGTATTTAATTACATATTAAATAATATAGAAGTATATAATCAGTGTCCAAAAAAATTATAACATCTCAAACCCTTTTTATTTAATTTTATTTTTTAATTGTTTATTTTTGAGAAAGACAGGGGTGGGGGGGGCAGAGAGAGAGAGGGAGACAGGATGGGAAGCAGACTCTGTGCTGACAGCAGACCATGAGACCCTGATCTTAGCTGAAGTCAGAAGCTTAATGGGAGGAGCCACCAGGCACCCCTCAAAACCTTTTTAAACAGTGATAACCTATGTATCTTTTTGTATCTTTAGAATTTTTAACAATGTCAGAAAACTGAACCTATTGAAAAGAAACACATGAAATTAAAACTTTTAAAACCAACAGCATATGAGCAAACAAACTCAGCAAGACTTACCTCGCAGGGGGGATTCCTCTCTTCCACAGGTCCGCCCTCACTCTCTCCCCCACATGCCTGTAGATCTCCACCATAGCCAACACTGCAGCATCTCTCACCTGCCACAGAATTCAGAAAGCAAAAAAAATAAACTTAGATGAGACATAATAAAAGACTTCATCTCAAGGCAACATTACACTAGCACACCGACTTGAAGCTCTCAGTGGTTTTAATGCTTCTAAACCCCTGAGGGATTTTGGCAAGTCATTAGCAAAAACCAAGAGGATCTGCCGAGAAACCTCTAGAGAAACCTTGTAAAAGGTTTTGTAGAAATCTGAAAAACATAGAAATAAAAGTTATTAATGTGGCTTTTAAAAAAATCTTCTATTTGTAATAAGACTGCATAAAAGTTGCCAATAATTGTATGATTACAAATCATTATTGTGGTTAATATACTTTCCTGGAATAAAACTGTGCTTCAAGAATGTGGTCCGAACTCAACACCAGTGTGCACAGCATCATTATTCAGAATAGTCAAAAGATGGAAACAACCCAAATGTCCACCTATGGATGCGCGTGTAAACAGAACGTGGTAAACACACACAACGGAATATCATACAGCCTTAAAAAGGACAGGAGGCAATTCGGACAAACGACAACACGGAAGACCCTGGGAGACATTACGCTAAGTAAACCATGCTAAATGCAAAGGGACAGATTGGATGGCTCCACTTTCACAAAGTACATAGCGCGTAACAATTCTTACAATGCTTCCCTTACGCAGAAAAGGGAACATGTGGTCGCCAGCAGCCAGAGGGAGTTTTGGCTTAACAGGTGCAGGTTTCAGTTTGGGAAGATAAAAATCCAGGAAACTGAACGCGGTGACGGCTGCACAACAGTGCACTGAATGCCAATGAACCACACGCTTAAAAATGCTTGGAAAGCTGGGGTGCCTGGGTGGCTTAGTTGGTTAAGCGTCCGACTTTCGCTCAGGTCATGATCTCGTGGTTCGTGGGTTCGAGCCCCGCGTCGGGCTCTGTGCTGACTGCCAGCTCAGAGCCTGGAGCCAATTTCAGAGTCTGTATCTCCCTCTCTCTCTGACCCTCCCCTGCTCACGCTGTCTCTCTCTCTCTCCCCTAGAAATTAAAAAAAAAAAAAAAAATGCTTGGAAAGGGAGGCCTGGGTGGCTCAGACTGCGGTTCAGGTCGTGATCTCACGGCTCAGAGCCTGGATCCTACTTCAGATTCTGTGTCTCCCTCTCTCTGCCCCTCCCCTGCTCATGCTCTCACTCTGTCTCTCTCTCTCAGAAATAAGTAAACATTAATAAAAAATGACTGGAATGGTAAATTTTATGCTGTATTTTACTACAATTAAAAGAAAAAACTGTGGCCTCGACACAGGAATTTGGAAGATGGCCATAGGTTCCTTGTCCAGCTCGTTGTCAAAGAGCAAATGAAAAAGTAGTAAAACTCTACAGATGTCTAGAGGTAGAGCTAAGCCTGATAGCAGGAAGACTTCACCCAGGGTTATTGCAAATGCCCAAGCTGTGCCCACAAGGGTACAGACAAGACCCAACACCACCAGGATGACCACGCTCCCAAAGGGCCCCTGCATTATGCCGAGCACACGCAGCTCAGGCAACCCTCCTACGAGGGATGTGCCGCTGGCACACAGCCCTCTGTTAAACAGGGTTATGACCACTGTCAGGAATGAAGAAAGAGAGCTGCCCACCTGTCCTCACAGTTAACATGCAGGACTATGAAAGCAAAGGAAGGCAGGGTCTCTGTCACTCCATCTTTCAAACCAAGAGCTGTCCTTTTAGTACCATATATCCTTCCAACCAGTCAAGCGAGTGACCATCTTAAGCAACCTAAGTGACTATCATGTGTTCTCAGAAAGTAATTGGTGGATTTTAAAAGAGAAATGAGGTGAAATCTTAATTTCATAATCCCCTCCACCCTCCCTCTTCTTTTTTAAAAACGGAGTAAGAGGCCTAAAAAAGAAGAGGTGGCCACAAAAAAATCAGTCAATGCTTGAATGTAAATAAAATTTTACCTGGCTGTTGGAATCTCCAAATAGGATACACAAATGTGGTACCAACTTGCTGAGGACTAGCGGCCGAGCCCCAAAACTAAGTATAATTTGAAACAAAAATAAAGAGAATTTGGTTTTAGTCAAACAGTAAACAAAATACACTTTCTTCTGGTTTATAGCAATAAGACAAATATGGTGGAGAGCATGGTACACATCATCAGAACATGAAGGATATGAGACACAAGCAAAAACTAGTTCTAAACGATGTGAAATATGCAAAATTGAATAATCATGACCCACAATGAAAACTGTCAACACATGATCCAAGAGAACAAAATCTTCAACCAACGGCACTCTTAAACCTGGCAACCTATCCATCGCTCATGAAAATTTGAGCTTTGTCTTTAAAATAGTGATTTTTTAGATACTGGGTCTCAAATAAATTTACATTCCAAGAAAATATTTATTTATGTTTATTAATATTTTGATGAGGTCATGGGTTGAAAGCAAATGACAGGAGAGCCAAAACCCACAGAAGTGTGCAGACTGAATGCACTTACAAGCTCTAGGTGGCAGAAAGGACCACAGAGGAGTGAAAGAAAATAAATGAAGGTATAGTTAGAATAAAGGAAGTAACACTACAGGAAAAGTTGAAAGCTACAATAGATCACCTATCTTGTTGCATAGAACTTGAGCAAATACTTAAGAACAAAAGCCCTGGTTTACAACTTTTTCAGACTGGAGCTCTGAGCTGTGTGGCTTCTATGCTATCAGAGCTCTACCTGCTGCTATCCAATTCGCTGTCTAGCCACCAGGCCAAATCTTGCTCAGTCTATGATTTTGGTAACCATCCACACTGGTCTAGAAAACCTAGGTGGGGGAAATAGCTACAATATCTGAAACACCACTGAGTAAAAACAATGCCAAACTGGGTTCAGAACAGAAGCAGATCCTAACTTATAGCAGCATTCCTGTTATACGACCATCTATTCTGGGTAGCAACTGTTACTTATTCAAGAAAAAAAGAAAAACACTTCTTATCACCAATTGTTTTAAGTCAGCATACACATAAAAACTTAACAGCTAAAAATATCAGATCAAATAAAAACTCTCATACCAGAGATTAATTAATAACTAATTTAAAATTTGTTATTTCCATAGCTTTCCTTGAGCTTTATGAAATGGATATTGTTTTTTCTTTTCAGCAAAATGAAAAACAAGTAAGTTGACTATTTTCAATAATCATAAAACTTACACATTTAAGGTTTCAATAAGACATAAACACACGCCTTCTCGAGATCGAAAATTCTTGTGCTTAAAACCGGAGGTCAACTGTTCCCAAATGTACTATTTGAAAGAGAAGTAAACAAGCAGAATAAAAAATTAAATTACTCATGTTATAATATTTAATCTATTTCCAACCTTATCACAACCTTCCTGATAACTGAATCTTCCCATCAGACTTTACCTCTCTGTAAGGGTTTCTAAGCCAAATTTGTGCTCATGTTGCTCTCACCCATTTTTTAATATCTTAATCACAGTTTTTGGTTTTTATTTAATATCTTTCACTTTAGATTTCAATTATTCTCAGAAAAACCTTACAATTTCCACGGACATAGAATTCTTTCTAAGCTTTAGAAACCTTCGACAACAATGCTACCATTATAAGCCCAACAGTCCAGTGAGCATTTAAAAGGTCTAATGTTGCCTAGCAACCACTATAGATTGTCACATGGAACAGGCTTTTTCAGCATTTTATAATTCAGGCTTTTCTCCTTCAGCACTGGATCCAAATACAGAAACATTATTTGGGTAAATCATTTTATTGCTACCTACTATAATTTTCTTTTGCAAAAACCATACATAAACCTATACAAATAATCCCAATTATATGAATACAGTGTTAAGAAGGAACCCAACTTTATTTTTCCAAACATAAAGCCAATTGACTCAATCAGTCCTTTCTCTGCAGTTAGAAACACCGTCCTTCCCATTTGTTAAATCCACACACACACACCCTTCTCTTCCTGGACTCTATATTCAGCTCTACTAATGTTACTCTCTTTCTGCCAAACTTTCTGGAAGCAACCTGGAAGTTTACCCAGAAAATCTTAAAGGTGAACAACCTGATGCAGCAACACCACCTCAGGAACACTATTCTACATAAATACTTATATTTCTGTCCAAGGACACATGTACAAGGATGTTCCTTGTAGTAATGTTTATAATGATAACACATCAAAAATGAGTTAAAATTTGAACCACTAAGCAAGTGCTGAAGGATACCCACCAAACTATTAGCAAAGACTTCATTCCAAGGTGTAAAATATCTGGGCAGTTTAGTTTTACAATTGAACACTCTTTGGATTTTTTCTAAAACATATGTAATATATATTTTTAAAACTCTATTCTAAGAGATAACACATAATACCATTGCAGATATCGTAAATTTCTGATTTTTTTCCTACTTAACATGAGATATTCTATAAATCTTTGTTTACGTATCAATTTATCTTTTTAAAAATTTTTTTAACATTTATTCATTTTTGAAAGGGAGACAGAGAGAGCGGGGAAGGAGCAGAGAGAGAGGGAGACACAGAATCAGAAGCAGGCTCCAGGCTCTGAGCTGGCTGTCAGCACAGGGCCCAACGTGGGGTCAAACCCACGAACCGTGAGATCATGACCTGAGCCAAAGTTGGACTCTTAACCGACTGAGCCACCCAGGTGCCCCTACGTGTCAATTTATCTTCACTCTCCTTTTGAAACACCTCCCTAAGGGCTAATTTCTTTTACTGTATTCATAACACACAAATCAGTGTCATAGAATATGCCTTATATAATTAGTAACCACCTGTTCAAATAAAAATTTTGTTCTTGTCACTGTGAAAGCTGCAGAAATTAATACTACACTCAGTAGTTCTCACAATGAGCTTTGTCACTGAACACCATATAATCTGCAGGTAAGAAAAACTGAAGAGTAATATATTCAGCATATTGTCCAATGAACAGAATCTGAGTCAGCTATGTAAAAAACGTCAAAGAGTAGAAAATAGGAAAAAGGGGAAAAAAACCAAGCAGTTAAATATTGATATTTTATCTCAAATTTCAACTTCCTTAAAGCATTAACAGTAATTCACTGTTTCAGATTTCAGCTTCGTGCCCCTGGAGTCTTCAATGATGTGCTGTGATTACCATCTGTTTATACTGATATTTCATCGCTGATGAGCAAAACTTAAAATGTAAAGTGTAGGCCTACCATAGGTGGTGCTACTTGGTCCATGAGCTTCAACATCAGAGTCTGAGCTTCATCTCGAACCTTGTCTTTGGCATCTCCCATTCTGTCTATTAAAGCTGCAATAACTAGAGAAAGGCAGAGGGAAGAGAGTAAGTATTTACGATTCATCTCCATTATAAGCTATGTTTTACAAAATTACAAAACAGCTCGTTCCATAAACGAAAAGTTATCAGGTAAGCAAATTATTTTCTTTACTCGTGAGTCCAATAAAAAATAACAGAGAAGGAAGGTTCAAACGCATACTTACGGCATGATATGCACTTATGATCATGTTCAAAAAACAGGCAAGACTAAACATGATCCTGTGTAGAGAGCTGTGCGGCTAGTTGAGCTCTATGGACCTGCACGGGACGGTCACCAGAAAGCCCTGTCGGCGGTAACCTCTGGGAGAGGCGGGGAGGCATCATAGGAAATGCAGAGAGGAAGCATCTAAGACAGCAGAGTTCTGGGTCCTGACCCGGGCACGGGCAGGTGCTGGCTTACGATCACGTGTCTGATACGCACTTTCATGGCCGTAGGACATACTGTTCTACTGACACACATGAAAGCCGGGCCCCTGGCCTTACGGCTTTTCTCTACCATGTCCGAGGCTGTGGCACTGCTCCATGCGACGCAGCAAGAGAGGCAGGGGACAGTCTGTTTTTGGAGAGTTTTCATGAAAAGGGGGTGAAGGGAAAGGGAGGTGAGGGCGGAATCAAGAGGGTACAGGTTCTAACGTTGGCTCATAGGGCAAAAACCTCTCATAGTCAAAATTTTCTTTTGTAATCACTTAAATCACCACTGCCCCTCGGGTGGGGTTACAAGGTGTGAGGCCACATCTCCTTTTGTCTTTACCTCCTCAGCCCATAAAGGCTGGCAGCGGTGCTCACCTCAAAAAAGGACTGAAACTTAAAAAGAGAACGCATTTAAACAGCTTAGAGTGGGGCCCGAAGTGAGCATTTTGTGTGTCACCGCCCACCCCTGCGCCACCAGCGTCATCCTGCAGGCTGGACGGCAAAGAAGTGAACTTTTTTCTCTTCTGACACAACAGCCCCAGCCTTGCTTTCCCTGACGCAGTGAAGGCTGAGGCCTGCTTTACAGAGAGGAAGGAAGAAGAAATAAGATAGAGAAAGGGGTTTCCTCTCATTTACTTAGAGACGATTACAATTAAGCGTTTATATACTTTGACGCAAATATACTCTACAACATAACATTGTCTACAATATAACAACTGGACAGATTTAATAATAATGAACAACAACACTTAAGGAAAAAAGAAATTACATCATTTTTGGAAGAAAATTAGACTATAGTGAGAAGCCCACTGTGAGAAGTTTATCCAAAAACCTAAGCTTAGTATAAGAAAACAAAGTTCTTGCCATAAAAGCATAAGCCTGATCATGAGGCAACTGAAGGGCCTGTCAGCTGGGACAACATAAATAAATACTTCTCATCCTGCTTAGATGTATTGTTAACATTAGAGAAAATCACCAACATTTGTAGGACTGGCTGTTGTGGGACTCTGGTTCTGATAGCTTCAGAGGCAGAAGATAGTAAGAAACACTTAATACAGGTATCATTATGTACCAAGCAATGAATTCTCTCATGTTAACCTCATAACAACCCAATCAAAGAGAGAAGGCTCATTTGATAGAGATGGCCCCAAAGGATGAAGTACCTTGCCCAAAGTCACACAAATAGCAAGCTGAAACCAGGATTTAAATAACCACACAATTAGGCCCCAGTCACAACTACTTCCATTTGCTTGTAATTGACGTGTGTGTGTGTGTGTGTGTGTGTGTTGACAATCACACAACAGTAGTATAAAAAAAAAAATCTACTGCATTTTTGAGAGGTAGAATTTAACTCCAAAAAGAAATATTAAAATGTTGGCCCAAACCAGGGCTCCTTCCAATACAGAAAAACTAAACTTTTATAAAATATAAGCAGCAAAAACAACTTGACGTTACATAAACTTTTTACTATAGCTATTAAAAAAAGTCCATACGTTTTTTGCATTAGAATTCCTTTTTGACACATACTCTCTTGGTGTGAAACAGAACAAGATTCTATTCCTAGTTTTACCAGCTGTGAATTATGTAAGACCGTAAACTTCCCTGAACTTGAAAGCTCCCTTGTCTATAAAAGGAGGAGGAGTGCAGGCCTCTACCTCACACAAGTAGCAGCAGGCCAAACAGGTGAAGTGAAGTTTAAAAAAAAAAAAAAAGACTTGTGCTAAGCCCATAATGAGCATCTGGAAGAGTCAACAGTCCACCCTAAAGATCTGTATGTATTATAATGACCATTTAATTATCATTCCACATGATGAATATTCAAAAGGTAATTAAGGGACTCCTAAACAGAGCTTTTCATCCTGTAGATGGAAGAACTTGCTGCACGGACTGGGACTTGAACAGTGAAACATCAAGAAGTGTAAAGCACAGCGGGGAGTAGATCTTATTCTCTGAGCACTGTGTGAGACACAACCCTTTTACAAGATGGAAGAGTGATAAGCAGGTAGCCCAATTACTCTAATACTCTTTCTGTAATTCCATTTTGGGTTAAAACTATCTGTTTAAAATTTGGGAGATATGAGATCCTTTACTGAATTCAGTTATCATAAAACCAGGGCTGGCGATCATTGTTAAATGTAAATTGGATATATTTTTTTGTTTGAAAAACTTATTTTTCCACAGTCCCTGTGGCCACAAAAGAAAATTTAAATATTTTATATTAAAGAACTCCATCAAAAGAGCCCATACTCTTTCTGGAACTTTGTCCAAAACTGAACATCCATCTCAATTTTCCTAAAACACCTCTTTACTTTTAATATTAAAAGACAAAAAAATACCTATGTTAATAACTTAAGTGTACCAAAAGAAAATATCACTCATATCAAGTTACATATATCTAAGATTACATTATTTAAAAAAAAAAAAAGGGTCGCCTGGGTGGCTTAGTCGGTTAAGCGTCCGACTTTCGCTTAGGTCATGATCTCGCGGTTCGTGGGTTCGAGCCCCGCGTCGGGCTCTGTGCTGACTGCCAGCTCGGAGCCTGGAGCCTGTTTCAGTCTGTGACTCCCTCTCTCTCTGACCCTCCCCTGCTCACGCTGTCTCTCTCTCTCTCTCCTAGAAATAAATAAAACATTTAAAAAAAAAAAACCTTCAGGGGCGCCTGTGTGACACAGTCAGTTAAGCGTCCAACTTCAGTTCAGGTCATGATCTCATGATTCGTGGGTTCCAGCCCTGAGTCGGGCTCTGTGTTGACAGCCCAGAGCCTGGAGCCTGCTTTGGATTGTCTGTCTTTCTCTCTCTCTCTCTCAAAAATAAACATTAAAAAAAATACCTTTAGCACATAGTTTAATTCAATTCCTTCCTTCCACAGAAGAGCTCCTAAAGTGGGTTGGCTAAGGTCTAAAACAGTAAAACAAGAAAGCTAACCGTGGCCTCCCCATTCCGCACTGTACCTCCGCAAGAGCACAGAGGGGCACCTGCGTGGCTCAGCTGGTTAAGCCTCCAACTCCTGATTTCGGCTCAGGCCATGACCTCATGGTTCACGGGTTCAAGCCCTGTGGGCCGGCTCTGCTTGGGATTCCCTCTCTCCTTCTCTCTCTGTCTCTCCCCTGCTCACTCTCTTTCTCTTTCTCTAAATCAAAACAAAACAAAACAAAACATAAGAGTACAAAGATACAGTGCCTATCTTGTGGAGCTATCATACAAATCAGAAACAATGTGAGGATAATCTTTTACACACGCGAAGCTGATAAAGCCCAATAAATGGGTAACAAGTAGGCAATATACACTAGCAAAGTAGTGATGAGACTTTCTGGTTATACTACACTGACTCTGAATTAATAACAAGTTTGAGTTTCACAAAATGATGACCACTTAGGGTTCAAAGTGAAAATGATACTAACATTAATGTACACAAATAACCATAAAGAGTAGAAGATGAAAAGATAAAAGAAACTACACATATAAACCTATGCAGATATACAGAAAACACATATGAAAAACACTCAATAATAAAAGCAACTTAATGTAATTTATTTAGTATTAAACAGTTTGAGAAAAATAAAGAAAAATTCATTGTAGGGTAAGGTTGGTCTGAAAAGCTCCCAGATACTGAAATGGGAAGTAAATCCTTTAAAGAGAAAGAAAGGACCATGGAAAAGGGAGAGGACTGCGAAAAGGAAGCAGAGCACAGCAGAAGCACGAGCGAGTGAGCCGCTAGAACAGGAGGGAGCAGGGTTCGACGCAAGCGCAGGCGGGACAGGCGCGCCGAGGGAATGGACCGCCACCGGGACGGCAGAACAGAAGCTCTGAAGGCAGGTGGCTCCCGGGAGGCAGCGGCCTGGGATTCCGGCCCCACTGTCCCTATGGCCTCAGTGTCCGCAGTCAGTGGACTCTGCGTTCGAAAACCACGCGAGATACATAACACCTGGGATTACCGTGCCGTCCAAAATACTGTCTGTCACAACTGACACAGGAGCCGCTACAGGGCAGCGGTCCCAACCATGAACGCCCGCAGGCGGGGAGGCCCGGGAAATGCCAAAACGGAACCGGCGCTAACAAGGGCAGAGCCCAAGCACACGGCGGCTCTGAGACTGGAAGGGACGGGGAGACGGGAGGGACCTGGGAACCAGACAGCTCACGACCAGTAAGAAAGAGCGCCTACGACAACACTTCGCCAGCACTTAGGTGCCTGTGGGAGTGGAAGAACGCTCAAGACGAGCCACAAATATGATTTTTTTACATAAAACTTCCTAATTTTAAACAATGACTCAAAATCTTTTAAGCGAACACCCACGTAAAACACGTATGCAGCATTTTCAACATCAATCATAGGATCTTAAGCAGAAGCCTGACCCTGTGAAGGGTCAGCTTTTCGGAAGACCTTCATGCAAAGAATGAACCGGAACCAGGCACTGACTAAAAGGGGACACGGAAGGGATATTACTAAGATGCTTCTGCCTAAAGGACAGACAATGAAAATAAGAAACCAGCAGAATCTGGGGACAAACCGCATACGAAGCGCTAACTTAATGCATAAAAGAAAATCACAAGCAGCTGAGACCTCCCTTCTCTATTCCTACAGAAGAGGAGCCGCACCCACATCACAGCTCCTCAGGGCAGAGAGCAGCTCAGAGCCAGCGCTGTGACCCTGACTGCGGCACAAAGAGGAGCAGCAAGGACCAGGGTCTTGTGTGTGCCGCAAACACAAAGGAGCGAGCGCGGCCCGGAGGACGGCCGGCAGCGGGGCGGCTCTGCAAACTAGTTGTGATTTAAAAAAAAAAAAAAAAAAAAGTATTTTGGAAGTGTTCATAAAACACAGTTTTTTGTTTTTTGTTCTTTTTTTTTTTAATATTTTTATTTATTTCTAGGAGAGAGAGAGAGAGAGAAACAGCGTGAGCAGGGGAGGGTCAGAGAGAGAGGGAGACACAGACTCTGAAACAAGCTCCAAGGCTCTGCGCTGTCAGCACAGAGCCCGACGCGGGGCTCGAACCCACGAAACGCGAGATCATGACCTAAGTGAAAGTCGGACGCTCGACTAAGCCACCCAGGCTCCCCTATAAAACACAGTTTTAAAAACAATCTGACCAAAGTAATTTGGTTTATTGAATCTAATAATAAAAAATTGGGTCCTTTCATTTTGCTGTAACTTATTTTTATTACATTTTACAATATTGGTCTACAACAGACTAGCCAAGATAGAACTGGTCCTTCACCATAGAAATCTAAAGAGCAGCGCTGTACGTTATAAATTTTTAATGTTAAAAAAAGTAATAGTAAAAACATTTAAGTTATGAAGTAAAAATCTATTAGCAGTATATTTAATATGTTTTTTGTTTTTTTGGTTTTATTTATCTCAAAGGAAATACAATTATTTTAATAGGCTTAAACTCTTCTATGTCTAGGCCAACTAAAATGCTATATACTAGATCTCTAGGTTGTATAAAATTACCTTTTACACTCACAGAGAACCGATTCTGTTAAAGACCATGAGAAAACATGCCAGTACGTCAAAGCCTACAATGATTTTGAAATAAAGTTAACTTACCCATTACTACATAGGACTTAAATCGTGTTGATAATCTGTCCACAAAGGCACTTAAAATTTCCAATCCCATTAATGACACCTACAGACAGAAAAAAATTTAATGAATACAAACTACTAGTGCATTCTTTAATATATATAATCACTGACATATAAAGCTTTCATATATTACCAAGTTTTTGTTTAAAGATCCATTTTATTTTTTTGTATTTTTTTAATGTTTATTTATTTTTGTGAGAGAGAGGAGAGAGAGAGAGAAAATGTGAGTGGGGGAGGGACATAGAGAGGGAGACACAGAACCTGGAGCGAGCTCCAGGCTCCGAGCTGTTGGCAAAGAGCTGGATGTGAGGCTTGAACGCATGAACCGTGAGATCATGACCTGAGCCAAAGTCTGATGCTTAACCGACTAAGCCACCCAGGTATACCTATTACCAAGATTTTTTTTTAAGAAAATAAGGAGATTGAAGTATTCAGGGGTAAACAGTCATGAGGTTAGGGCACTCTAATCTCAAATGGTTCAATAAATGCTGCTACGAGTACTAATGTATACAAATGCAGGGAGATAAAGGCAAAACGTTAATAACTGGTAACACAGGTAAAGGGTGTAAAGAAGGCCACCAATTATAGTTGCAACTTTCCTCCTGTAATGTTGAAATGTTTCCTAAATGAAAGTTAAAAATTAAGAGCACCTTTAATTATAGAGGAATTCCAGCTTTTGTCTAGGACGGAGACGCTGGAAAAAATACCACTTCCACTTTAACAAGAAAAAAACCAAGTATCTACAGACCTAGAACTATTCTTGAGTCCATCAGAAAGCTGAAGTTGCAGGATAGTCAACTAGCCTGAAATTTAAGGAAAGACACGCCCCCGCGGGGAGGCGGGACCTGTGGCCCACGGGGCAGAGGACGGAAGGCAGGAGAGGCTGTACCGCAGGCGGGTGCGCGCCCTGCTGTGTGTAACTCCTGCTCAGCAGCCGGGTGCGGGCTGGCGTGAAGATGCTCAAGCTCTACCAGCCACAGACACGAAAGGAGACACGCTTTCTCCACAAACCTCCACTGGGTACTCATCATGGGAAGAAGCATCTGTCTCTCGTTTGTACGGGTCTCAGAGGAAGACAGCAGCCATCTCTGCAGGAGAGGCAGACTTTTCCTTCCCCATACCCTTGTCTTAATAAGAAACGAAGGTATGGAGCTGCTGAGAGAAAGACGAATACTGTCACCACCCGACACAGGTAAAAACTCACTGCTACTAAGAAAAGAGAAAAAGAAAACAGAGCACTCTACCTCTGAGGGAGAGGCAGAAATTCACCCTGGGCTCAAATGTCGAGCAGGGCAGGGTCTCTGCTAAAGCCTCATCCCCAAGACTCAGGGGCAAAGGGCTCCTAAGACTGAAGCTGGACCGAAAACCCAACTACACCCCCGCTCCCCACAACCAAGCTCGCAAGAACAGCCAAGGGAGGGCAGCTCCCCCTGTAGAAGAAAGCATGGAGAAAACCCCCTATGAGGCACAGGAGAAAAAGGGAAGGGCTCAAGTGGAGGGTGCTGGACACTGAGAACCTAACAATTCATTCCGTTCCTGGGTATACACCCAAAGCAGGACACAAACAGGTACTTGTGCGCCAACATTCACTACGGCATTGTTCACAACAGCTGAAAGGTACAAAGGCCCACAAGTCCTTCAACAGATGAACAGATAAAGAACATGCGCCATATGCGTTTAGCTAAAAATTTGGCCAGGGTGCCTGGGTGGCTCAGGTGGTTAAGTGTTGGACTCCTGATTTCGGCTCAGGTCACCATCTCATGGTTCGTGAGATCAAGACCCACGTTGGGCTCTGCTCTAAGTGTGGAGCCTGCCTGAGATTCTCTCTTCTCCTTACCCCCCTCCTCAGGGAAAAAAAAGTTTGGCCATAAATAAGACTGACTGGTACAGGCTACAACATGAATGAGCCCTGAAAGCATTATAAGTGAAGTCACGAATGGCCAAAGGTCATATGATTAAACTTACAAGAAGTGTCAAGAGTGTCCAGAACCAATGAACTGCACACTTCACAAATGACTAAACTGTGTAGTACGTAAGTTAAATCAATAAAGCTCTTTAAAACATACCTCACTTAGAAATCTATCTCTAAGATACACTAGCAAAATTATTACAAAACAAGCAGACATTATTCATTGTAAGAGACCAGAAACCATCCAAATATTCATCAATATGAGACAGATTCAATAAATTATGGTACAGCCACACTGCAGGGTACTGTAACACTGTAAAAATGAGCACTCACCTAATTCTGTTATGCAAGAGCCTCCATATGTTGTTAAGTGAAAAAAGCAGGTTGGGGCAATGTGTATATACAGCGAGGACTATGAAGAGACACGGTGACTTAGAAATGTTTGTTAAAAATAACAACAATGGGGAAACAATCAGGGGGAACAAATGTAATCCTTAGGAATAGGCTAAAAGGAATAGGGAAAGAAGCCAGACTATTTTGAATACCATTTGCAGCAATAACTAATTTCCCTGAAAATAAGTGAACCTGAATGTATACCGAATTAGTATTATAACCACACAGAAGAGGAGCTCAAGTGCCTTTCGAGTACAGTAATTTGATTACCTCTCTCCAGGGGGACACACCCGGAGGACAAAAACAACGCTGCAAAAAGGAAACGCAAATGCTTTCAGAAATCTTGACCGAAGGAGAAGGAAGACCTACAGAAGTAGGATAGACTGCAGGCCAGAATCTGAATTAAAATCACTATCAACGCATGGTATATTTTTCCTTAAAACTAAAACCCTAACCCTCTTCACTGAAAAAAGCCTAGAGGGCTTTGTTCAAACAAGAACGAGTGCCACTAGCGCGCACGCTGCATTTTCCACATACTCGTCCCCACTGACAGAGAACAAGAGCTTCTTGGAGAAGCGGCTGGTTCCAGGGCATGAGCAGGAAAAACGACATCGTGTGAGAACCAGACAGCAAAGATGCAGCAGAGATTCCTAGGGTCGTGTCAAGATAGGTCGGTTTGAATATTAATAAGGACAGTAAGTGCACCGTCTTGAAATGCATTAGATACGCTTAAATATAAGAATCTGCACGGATGAAAACTATGTGGCCAATACTGGAGGGCGCTAGAAGACCACCTCACTATTTTGACCATTAGTAAACAAAAGGAAAGAATCACATAAACTACAGGTATCGCTCAGATACGTGCATTCTGCCCCACACCACTGCAATAACGGGAATTATGCAACAAGGTGAGTCGAATGGGTTTTTTCCATTTCCCAGAGCATATTAAAGTCATGTTCACCCTGTACTGTGCTCGACTAAGCATGCACCAGCATTATGTGTAAAAAAGGACACACCTTAATTAAAAAATACTTTATTGCTAAAAAGTTAACCATTATCTGAGCTCTCAGCAAGTTTGCAATCTTGCTGCTGGTGGAGGGTGGTTGACGGCTGCTGACTGGTCAGGGTGGAGGTCGCTGAAGGCCAGGGTGGCTGTGGCAATTTCTTAAAATAAGACGACAGGCAAGCCTGCCACAACCACCAACTCTTCCTTTCATGAATGATTCCTCTGTAACACGTGGTGCTGTTGGACAGCATTTTCCCCACAGAAGGCCTTTCAAAATCGGAGTCAATGCTCTCAAGACTTGATGCTGCCCATCAACTAAATATATGTAATATTTTAAATCTTTTGCTGTCATTTCAACAATCTTCACAGCATCTTCACCAGGAACAGGTCTCATCCCAAGAAAAACTTTTTTTTTTTGCTCCTCCATCAGACGCAACTCCTCCTCTGTTCAAGTGTTATGAGACTGCAGCCAGTCAGTCCCTTCCTCCGGCTCCATTTCTTTCTTTTCTTAAATTTTAATTCCAGTCAACATACAGTGTTGCAGGAGTTGCAGGTGTACAATGTACTCATTCAACACTTACATCGCCTTGTGCTGGTCACAAGTGCACTCCTTAGTCCCGCCTACTCAGCCCATCAGAACATCCTATGGGAAGAGGACAGTCTCTTCCACAAACGGTGTTGGGAAGGCTGGACAAGAACATGCAAAAGACTGAAACTGAACCACATCCTTATACCTTACACAAAAATAAATTCAAAATGGATCAAAAACCTAAATGTGAGGCCTGAAACCATAAAAATCCTAAAACATAACACAGGCAGTAACTTCTTCAACATCGGCCGTAGTAACTTTCTAGACAGGTCTCCTGAAGCAAGGGAAACAAAAGCAAACATAAACTACTGGGACTCCGTCAAAATAAAGTTTCTGCACAGCAAAAGTTCCGCTTCTAACTCTAGTTCTGCTCTCTCGACCACATCTGAAGTTACTTTCTCCACTGAACCCCTGGAAGTCCTCAGGTTCTTCCAAACTCCGGTTCATGTTGCTATTCTGACCGCTTTCCAGGAATCACGAATGTTCTTAACGGCATCTAGAATGGTGAATCCTTTCCAGAAGGTTTTTCCAATTTATTTTGCCCAGCTCCATCACAGGAATCACTACCTATGGCAGCTAGAGCCTTATAAAATGCATTTCTTAGATAATAAGACTTTGAAATTACTCCTGATCCATGGGCTGTAGAGTGGATATCGTGTTAGCAGGCAGGAAAACAACATTAACCTCCCTGCGCATCTCCACTGGAGACCTTGGGGGACCAGTGCATTGTCACGATCAGTAATATTTTGAGAGGAATCCTTTTGTCTTCAGCAGTAATTCTCAGCAATGGCTTAAAATATCCAGGAAACCATATTGTAAATAGAGGTGCTCTCACCCAGGCTTTCTATTTACAGAGCACAAGGAGAGTTGATTTAGCATAATTCTCAAGGGTCTTAGGATTTTCTCAATGATGTGAGCACTGCCTTCAACTTAAAGTCACCAGCTGCCTTCACTCCTAACAAGAGAGTCACCCTGTCCTTTGAAGCCAGGCTTTGACTTCTCTCTAGACGTGAGACTCCTAGATGGCATCTCCTTCCTAACAGAAGGCTGTTCCGTCTACACTGGCAATCTGTTGTTTAGTGGAGCTACTCGCAGGAATCACCCTCACTAGATCCGCTGAGTAACCTGGAACTTCTGTGGCCCCTTGCACTTTTATGTCATGGAGATGCTCCCTTCCTTAAACTTCATGAACCAACTTTCGGCTTCAGACTTCTGTGGCTTCCTCACCAAGCTCAGCCTCCACAGAATTGAAGAGAGTTAGGGCCCTGCTCAGGATGAGGCTTTGGCTTAAGGGATTGTTGCGGCTGCTTCGAGCTCCTACCCAGACCACTCAAACTTCTGTCTCTAGATCAGCAATAAAGCTGTTTTGCTTTCTTATCACACATGCGTTCATTGGAGTAGCACTTTTAATTTCCTTCAAGAACCTTTCCTCTGCAGTCCCAAGTTGGCTGTTTGTCACAAGAGGCCGAGCTTTTGGCCTGTCTTGGTTTTTGACTTGCCTTCCTGAGTTTAATCATCTCTAGCTTTTGATTTAACGTCAGACACATGCAACTCCTTCTTTCTCTAGAACACTTAGAGGCCACTGTCGAGCTAGTAACTGGCCTCATTCCAGTGCGGCTGTATCTCAGGGAACAGGGAGGTCTGGGGGGGAGGAGAGACGGGGGAACGGCTGGTCGGTGGAGCAGTCAGCACACACACAGCACTTACAGGTCACGTTTGCCATCTTAAACGGGCACGGTTCGTGGTGCTCCCAATTACAACAGAGCAACGGCAACATCTGAAGTTCCTGACCACAGGTCATCACAACATACGGTAATGAAACAAGTTTGAAATACTGTCAAGATTTACCAAAGTGTGACGTACAGAGAACACAGTGACCAAGTGCTGTTGGGAAAATGGCACCAAAAGACTTGTTTAATGCACGGTAGCCACAACCTTCAGCGTGTAAAAAATGTAGTATCCATGAAGCACAATAAAGCAAAGCACAACAAAATGAGGCGTGCTTGCCTTTCTATTATAAATGGTGCCAATGAAACAGGGCACCTGGGTGGCCCAGTCAGTTAAACGTCAGACTCTACTTCTGCTCAGGTTATGATCTCACGGTCAGGTAATCTGTGTGAGGCTCCGGGCTGAGGGTGGAGCTTGCCTCTCTCCCTCTCTCTCTGTCTCAAAATAAATAAACATTTTTAAAAAAGTAAATGGGGGAAGTTTCTCTTTATAAAGTATTCTAGTTAATAAGTGAAGGAATGACAGAATTAGAATATCATTCTGCAAGGGCGCCTAGGTGGTTCCACTGGTTAAGTGCCTGACTTCAGCTCAGGTCATGATCTCATGGTTCATGAGTTCAAGCCCCACGTCGCACTCTGTGCTGACAGCTAAGAGCCTTCAGATTCTGTGCCTCCCTCTCTCTCTGCCCCTCCCCCACTCACGCTCTGTCTGTCAAAAATAAATACATTTTTAAAAAACCAAAAAAAGATTTGAAGGTTCTATACTGCTGGCTTTGAAGATGAAAGAGGCTGCAAACCAAGAAATGGCATGCAACTCCCAGAATCTTGAAAATTCTCTCCTCTAAATTCTCCAGAAGGTAACAATCTTGCTGAAACCTTGATTTTACCCCAATAAAGCCCATTGTGTACTTCTGACCTTCAAAACTCCAAGGAAATAAATGTACTATATGTTGCTTTAAACTACTAAGTGTCTAGTAATTTGTTATAGCACCAACAGGAAATTGATATATTAATCACAATGTGGAAATCTTATTTGGATCCTAATTTTTCTTACAATAATTAATTTAAAAATTTGTATGAGGTTTTCAAAAATTAGAAGTTTGACCCTACATGTTTGATATCAAGGAATCACTGTGTTACATGTGATAATGGTAGTGAGGTTATGTTAATTTTTTTTTAAAGAACACTTACTTTGAGACACTAACTAGAAAGTCTTATTGATGAAACAATGTATCTGTGATTTGTGACAAAGTAACGGGCATGATTAGCCATGGACTGGTGTTGTGGGTAGATTTGTTTACTCTGTCTACCTTTACATATGTTAAAAATTCTTCATAGTTAAAAGCTAAAAAAAAAAAATTACAGTAAGTGTGATTCCTCATGGTGAAATGAACATACCCTTCAAACAAAGGAACAATTCAAGGCCCACACTCTTATTCAACCTCATCCTGAGGGCCTAAGCCAATGCACCAAAACCAAGCAAAACTAAAGAAATGGAAAGAAGAAGCAAAACGATCATTATGGTCTGATATTATACAGTAGTCTCTCCTCATTGCCAGTTTCGCTTTCTACAGCCTCAGTTACCCAAGGTCAACTGTAGTTTGGAAGCAGATAATCGTCACCAGAAGGTCAACAGTAGTCTGACGCTGTATTTCAATGCACACATCATTAACCTAACTTCATCTCATCACTCCATTATCACACATCATCACAAGAAAGGGGAGTACAGTACAAGGAGATTTTAAGAGAGACAACATTCATATAACTTTCATTACAGTATGTTGATATCAATGTTGTTTTGTTATTATTGTCAATCTTTTGAGGTGCCTCACAAAAATTAAACTTTATCATAGGTGCGTATGGTTAAGGAAAAATGTAGTACATGCAGGTTCTAAGGTTCTAGCTGCCATTTCCGGCATCTGCTGGGGGTCTTGGAAAACAGACTCCCAGATTCCTCATGGATGAGAAGGGACCATGTGTAGAGAAAACCTAAAAGAATCCACAAACTACAGGAAAAAAATGTTCTGAATTATAA